GGATCCAGAAATCTGCCTGGACAGCTTTGAAAGCTGTATAAAAAGCCTGGTTGTCTCCCGAGACCATGTGTTCTGTTTAAATGTGGCTCCCACATCTGCAGTCCATCATGTATAAAAGTATGTTCCTGTTTGTAATCATAGCAGGAACACCCAGTACCTGCCACGCTGAGAGCCAAGTATGTCCACACCAATGAGGTAATGCAAAGGTGTCACTTTATGGTGAGGGTATTGCACTTTAACTGCCTCTGTCTTAAGCTTTCTCGTTGGAGAGGGAACAAGGTCATTTACTCCCTTGACTGTGGAGTAAGAGCCTGTGGAGTAAGAGCCTGTTTCTAGATAGGAAACATATTGCAAATCTACTAAAGCGTATTATAAACCCACATCCTAGTTTGCATATAGTCACACAGCCATTGAGCAGCAGTGGTGACTGAAGGAGGTGCCAAAGGAGAGACGGAGGAGGAGGGCAGGTGTTACTGTACTCCTTGTACTTAAATTCTCAATCTTCTCAAAAAACCAAACCAAAACTCAAAACAAAAACCCATAACAAAACAAGAAAACCAAAACAAAGCCCTCAAACTAAACAAAAACAATACAAAACCTCAGCCAACCAACCCACTCTTATAAACCTGTGCAGGTAAGGTTTGTTTTTCTTGCTTTCTTTGAAGATGATTGTTTCTATCACAAGGTCACAGTCTGGTTGCCTAGTTTGTCCTGTATCTTTTGTCCCTGTTTTGCACTGTGTTTGCCCTTTTCTGATAGCAAATGACAGATACCTTGTTTAGCATGATTTTTCATGCAAGCACCATGCTGCTTGTCTTTCTTAATTTGTTCAGAGCTGCTTTGGCTTCTGGCCAGCTGCTCACCTGGTCTCATGGTGCTGGTGTGAGCATTGGGCTCCTGAGTGGCTTCAGAGCTGGCAAATCTGTGTGGAATTGCGTGGTGGGGGATTTTGAGGGGCATTAAGCAAGATGTTTATGGGCAGATGGCTGCAAAGGACGTGAACAAACAAGTGTGAATAGCTGGAGCAAGTATGGTGCTGACTTGAAACTTCGCAAAAGTTTTGAAGTCTTGGACAATCCAAAGGCTGTTGTTACTCACTAACTGTCTGGCAGGGCTGGATGCTGGAAGATGTCATGCAGTGATAACTGCAAAAATATCTGTTTTTTACGTTAGTGGGGAGCAAGACCCCTTAGTCTTCTGTTGGTGTTCTGTTAGATGCTGGGCAAGGACATCTGCCAGGAAAGGTCCTGCTTCATTGATTCATTTCCTTATGAAAGAAATACCTTGGTTCCCCAGAGCGCTGAGCATCCTTGTATGTCTATCTTTGTTTGGGTTTGGGTAGGTTCAGTTCCCCAGATGTCTGCACAGCAGCTGCTGTGGAGCAGAGCACGTACAAAAGCACTTGGGGATGTTCTTCACATCCACATGTGGGCTGTGTCAGACTGGCTGGGTAGTTCAGGCTTTTCACCATACTTTGGTTGTTAGAGCTATGTGGTGTGTTTAAAACCAGAAGGGACAGGCTACAAGCATGACATTCTGTTGGAGTGAACATCAGTGGTTTATCTGGATGCTGGCATTTTGGTTTGTCACTGAAGGTGCCTTCACATCTGAGACTAAGCTGCATGTCTGTGGTTCAAACAGCACTGCCATGTGTGCTAATGGTCTTTTCTGGTGGATATATTAAATTAGCTCTCTGCCTAGGCTGCCTCTATATGAAGAAGACTTTTTGCATATTGCCGATAGCATCTGAAAAGCTGCTTCTAAAAGGCACCTTACTTCTGTACTAGTGTGAGGCTTCTGCTTGGTTGTGCTTCTCTGCCATGGTTGCTGTTATTGCCCTCTATAAGGCTTCCTTCATGCCCCAGGTTTGGGAAGGTTTAGGCAGCTTTAACGACAAGATGGCTTTTCTTACAACCATCTGTGGAGTCTCTCATCCATGCCTTGAGCTTCCTTGTGATCTGAAGTTATGGTCAGTAGTGGTGATATGTCTTGGAGCTTACTGAGTTTAATTAATCAACTCTTAGACCAGGCTTGCAGGAGCTTTGTGTTGGCCTCCTCTCCAGGTACAGTCTGTTCTCTCCCACCTCCTTTACACACTTACGTGAACACTTTAAATGCTGAAATAGCAGTTGCTTGACTAAGGAATACAGATGCATTTAAATACCCTGTACATTGTATGTACCTTCATGTGGAAAATCTATCCCTCTTTGACTCTTTCTGACTAGTTGTAACTAACCTTGCTTGCACCTGTTTTGGGAAGTAGTTGTGTAAACTTTAGGAAACCCCTGAGCATTATGTATGCATGAACTCCACTTACATTACAGTAGTGCCTCATAAATCAGCTAGGTGTGAGGTGTGAGGATTGTGTGTGGTGAGAGTGGAACAGCACTCATGAGGTGACTGGGTCCTGTTTTGGGACCTGCATGACTCATATGGCAGTGCAGATCCAAGCTCAGCTGCTGCTGGTGGCTTAGGGTTCAGCTTCCCTCTATGATTACGTCTTGCTGCAGCCTTTTTGGGTACCAGTGTTCTTGTCTAGTGCTCCCTTGCTCACATGTCTGAGCCACTTCAGATTAGTAATCCTCTCTTCACTGTGTTCTTTCAGAGTCATTTACTCTGAATGTTGCTTGAGTATGATACTTAAAATATTACTTGAACTGACTTTTTAACTCTTCACCCACAAGGGAAGTGAACAAGGAGAAGGGGGGGTGTGGACTAGCATTAGGAATGGTGACCACTGGCAAATGTCTGGAAAAAAGTTGTGGGTGAAGCTGTTGAATGTTCGGCTACTCCACTTGTTTGGGTGTCTTCCACATAGTGTATTTGGGGTCTCATTCCCCTCCTTTGCCCTGATGCTCCTGCTGGAGTGGCAGGGATTGCCCTACACCTCTTGATCTCTTTTGAATACAGTGGTAACAGGAGCCCTGCACAATGTAATGGTCTCTTGTCCTCTCCTTCCTGTTGTCATTTGCTGGACCAAAGCTCACAGTGAGGAAGAGTTGGTAACAGGAGTAATAGTGTCTTCTGGCCAATGGGGCAGGCAGAGGACCCAAGAGTAGGACATAGGTGGTGAGGTAAAAACTTGCTCTAGACTCCTCAGCTCTGCTGTATCTTACAAGGCAGATGGTGAACCAGAATGGTGCCTGCCACACCATCAATATGTCCTCACCTGAGTTATGAAGCAGCGGGTTCCTACCTGCATATGTGGCTGCTTATTCCCAGAAGTCTGCAGAAGAGATGGAAAATGCGGCTTGGCTCTGGGGTCACTAAAGCAACTTTTTCAGGGGTTTTCTTGCGAATCCCAGCATGCTCTGTTTATTGTTTAAACAGCAGTATTTAACTGAATGTGTTGCTTGTCTATGCAGAAGGATGGGAATGTGGGTTAGGGCTTAGCCTTTAGTCCAGGCTCTAGGCTGGGGTTGTCTGTTTGGATGAGACTTCAGACATCTTCAGCTTGGGCACCATCATCTTTTTTGGTTTTTTGAGAGGACTGAGAGGAATTTTCAGATCCTCTCTAGGCGAGGTAGTGCAGTTTGGCAGTCAAGCTCAGATTTTTGTCCTTGCTGTTCTTTCTATCGTGATCCCATTGACGCAATTTTGAGAGCAGAGATCTTTTAGGCAGATCTGTTTGCTCTGTGACCTGTAAATGGCAGAAACAGCTGAAGACAAGCACATTTTTGAGGCAGGGGAAATCATCTGCATTTTGTAGGCATTTCAAGGATTTCTGGGAAAATGAGTTACTAGCAGCATGTCAAGGACAGAAGTCTGGATGTTAAAAAGGGCACTTGTATTAGAGGGGCTTAGATGATTGTAACCTAATCTGTATACCTCATGGCTGTGGAGTACAGGGCACCAAATGGCCCTGGGTGGGTCCTGTGGGTCCCACCCTATGGGCAGGCATGTCACGGACATTTGAATTGCTGTTTCTGCCTTTTTCTTTCGGAGGAGCCACCTGTTAGTGTTATATCAGCAACTCCCAGGAACGCCACTGCCTCCTACCAAAGGCCTTGCACAAAGTAGTAGTTCTTGTATTGTTTGTGCTCAAAGAGCTGATGTCATGCCAGCTGATGTCACTGTGTGCTTTGTGTAATCGCTATGAAAACTGGGCAGGTGGGGAGCCTGGGGGCTGGTGTCATTGCTGAATGAGGTGTAGAAAGAAGGTCCTCTTTGCTGCTCCAGCTCTGTGAAGCTGCCCTCCGCCAAAAAAAAATGGAGGGGGAGGGAAATGATGCTTGAAAAAGCCAGCAAGGCCTGCAGTAGGGCTGGGGGAGGCATGAGCTGAAAAAGTGATTTCTCCCTCCTCACTTGGATCCATTTCCCAGTCCATATTAATGTCGTAAAAATAACTCTTGCTAGATATTTTCAGGCAGCCAAGGCAGCAAAAGGAGAGCTGTTTGCCACATGTTAAAGCAAGTATCTCAGTTGCTGTTGGGTTACAAGGAGTGGTTTTCTTTTGTTTGTATGCACAAACGTGTAGTGTATGTACTGTTCCCTGGAGTGATGCCAGGGTGAGCTGCACCTATCCTCATCAGGGATGTTGGATGGGGGGCATGCCCTGCAGTGCTGCTACCACAGGAAAATCTGCAGACAGATAAAACTAAGATTGTACCAGGTGGCTTGCTGCTCCACTTTAGTGTGCTGATAGCTAATTTGCTCATAGTTTTGGCAATGTT